GGGTGGTGGAGGCAGTGCTCTCGCAAATTGAAGAAGCATTTGGATGAGCGCTTAAAATGTCAGGGCATTGTAGGCTATGGACCAAGTGCTGGGTAAGTGGGATTATTGTGTTTGATAATGGAGCAGCTTGGCTAGGGGAGTGGCAAGTTCTGGAGCACAAGTCCTCAGTACTATTGCCGGAATGTTGTCAGGGCCCATAGCCTTTGCAGTATCCAGTGTCTCCAACTGTTTCTTGATATCACGTGGAGTGAATCGAGTTGGCTGAAGACTGATATCTGTAATGCTGGGGACCACCGGAGGTGGCCGAGATGGATCATCCAGTCGGCACTTCTGGCTGAAGGTTGCTGCGAATGCTTCAGCCTTATCTTTTGCGCTGATGTGCTGGGCTCTTCCATCATTGAGGATAGGGATATTTGTGGAGCCTCCTCCGCCAGTGAGTTGTTTAATCATCCACCACCATTCACAACTGGATGTGGCTGGACTGCAGAGTTTAGATCTGATCCATTGGTTGTGGGATGGCTTAGCTCTTTCTATCACTTGCTGCTTATGCTGTTTGGCATGCAAATAGTCTTGTTTGGTGGCTTCACCAGGTAGACACTTTATGTTTAGGTATGCCTGGTGCTGCTCCTGGCATGCCCACCTGCACTCTCCATTGAACCAGGATTGATCCCCTGGCTTGATGGTAATGGTTGAGTGGGGGATATGCTGGGCCATGAGGTTACAGATTGTGTTGGAGTACAATTTTGCTGCTGTTGATGGCCCACAGCGCCTCATGGATGCCTATTTTTGAGTTGCTAGATCTGTTCGGTGATAGTGCCTCACAACACGATGGAGGTTATTCTCAATGTGAAAGTGGGACTTCATCTCCACAAGGACTGTGTGGTGGTCAGTCTTAGCGATACTGTCAATGGACAGATGCATCTGCAGCTGGCAGATTGGTGAGGATGAGGTCAAGTATGTTTTTCCCTCTTGTTGGTTCTGTCATCACCTGCCACAGACCCAGTCTAGCAGCTATGTCTTTTAGGACCTGACCAGTTTGATCAGTGACGCTGCTGCCGAGCCACTCCTGCACCCAGAGTATATTTTGTGCCCTTGCCATCCTCAGTGCTTCCACCAAGTGTTGTTCAACATGGAGGCTACATGTGAAGTTATACACGTTTATGTGAAACAGAAAAAAAGAATACTATTTAAATGGTCATATGTTGGGAAATCTGGATCTGACTGTCCTTGTACACCAGTCAATGAAAATTGATAGGTAGGTGAGGCAAGTAATTAGGAAGGTAAATTGTATATTGTCCTTTATTTCAAGAGGATTTGAGTCAAGAAGTAGGGGTGTCTTACTGCAGGTATACAGAGCCTTAGTGAGACCACACTTAGAGTACTGTGTGCAGTTTCAGTCTCCCGACCGAAAAAAGGATGTACTTACCAGAGAGGGAGTGCAGCGGAGGTTCACTCAGCTGATACCGGGAATGGCAGGTCTGTCTTATGAAGAGAGATTGGCTTGACTGGACTTTGTTCATTAGAGTTTAGAAGGATTAGAGGAGATCCAATTGAAATTTTAAAAATTCTAACAGGTCTGGATGAACTAGATGCAGGGCGTATGTTTCTCCTGGTTGAGGATTCTAGCAAAAAAGGACACAGTTTCATGATACGGGGTGGACCATTTAGGACTGAAATGAGGAAATACTTCTTTACTCAAAAGGGTAGTGAACCTGTGGAATCCTGTACAACAGAAGGCTGTGGAGGCCGTGTCATTAAATATATTCAAGAAAATGATAGATAAGTTTATAGATTTTAAAAGCATCAAGGGACATGGGTAAAAAGGCAAGAATATGATGTGAGCCATTATGATGTTGAATGACAGAGCAGGCACAAAGGGCTGAATGGCCTACTCCTGCTCCTAGTTTCTATGCTTCTATGATCCCTTATTCTCCTTAGTGTTCTGACTAGATGGACCGCTGCTGTTAACAGTGCAGTCCAGGTAACTGAAGCTGGGGAACCTTCCTAATCTTTACAGCCCAGTCAAACACTGGGACAGTGAAGTTAACCACTGACCAATTAGAGGTACTGGAGGACAGAATTCAATATGTGAACAAAAAATAAAATCCTGGAAATCTGCCAAAAAAGGAGAACCAGTTTGTGATGTTCAACTATGTTTTCAATTTCTGGTGTAGACTTTTCTGTCATAATTATTAACACTATCTGATCAATGATAATGATTGCCTAATTTTAAAACGGACAATTTAAGTGGTGGGAACTAAATGTACAATCTTAGGAATTTTTAAAGGAAAACGTGCCACTAAGTAACCCAATTTATTCTAACATTAAAGTAACTTTGCAAGCTAAGTAATTGGCAATATTTTATTGGCAGTATTGAAAGCAGTGAGTTTAACATAGTGTATCCTATTTGGAACTTATAAAGCCATTGTTGCTGTCCTTCATGAGCTCTCGTTTGACTTGATTGATAAACCATTTAACTTGGTGTTTTTCACAGCTCCTTTACAATACTCTTTGGCCTCAATTTATTTCTTAGTGATAAGCACAGATAGGCTTTGACTGCAGTGTTTTAGTGATTTAATCAGTTCTTCCATTTCAAATTCACTTTAATAGAATGTGGATGAGTCCCATTTTGAACCGATTTTCCACTCAAAGCCTAAAATTTTCATTTCGGTTTTCAGTTCTGTTGTTGACACCCTAAGGGGTTCGATTCCTTCTTTCCTCTTGTGATCTGTCTTTGTTTGCAGTGCTTGAGGTTACTGGCATTTAATGCACTAGAGTATGGTGTATCATTACGGATGTTTTAGAATAGTGAGACTAATAGCACGTAGAATCTGAGTTTCGATTTCATCTTTGCAGCTAAAGAATATGACTTTTAAAAACATAAACGTAAAAAGCTGGTATCAGTAAAAATGAACACTGTGAAGACCTCCAGGTTGACATAAAAACCTAACTAGTTCATTGATTTTCCATAGGAAATTTAATCTGCTGCCCTTGCCTAAAATGCCCTTAAATAGGACTCCAAACCAATATTGTTGACCTTTCCCTCTGAAGCAGCCAAGCAAGACATTCTGTATCAAATCACTTACAATTTTAGAAAATTAGGTAACTACCATCCAGTTAGCTTAATATCCGTTATTGGGAAAAGTTGGCTTCTATTACAAAGGATGTAATAGCAGAGGATTGTGGAATACCTAATATGATCAAGCAGAGTCAGCATGGCTTCGCAAAGGGAAAATCATTCCCAACAAGTTTATTAGAATTCCTTGAAGAAGTAACCAGTCGGATAGATAAAGGAGAAGCAGTAGAGGTAATATCTTTGGATTTTCAGAAGGTAATTGATAAGGAAGTAGAGGTTAGGATACTTGGTAAGATAAGAGCCATTTGTGTTGGAAATAGCATATTAGCATGGATAGAGAATTGGCTAACTAATAGAAGACAGAGTTCGGAGGAGGAGGTGAATTTTCAGGATGGGAACCTCCAAATAGTATAGTTTCAAAGGGATCAGTGCTAGGGCCCACAGTTATTTAGAATATATATTAATGGCTTGGATGAGGAATGTGAAAGTACTTTCGCCAGGTTTGTGAATGACAAAAATAGGTAGGAAGGCAAGTGGCGAGCATGACACAAAGTCTGCATAGGGAAATGGTTTAGTGGGCAAAAACTTGGCAGATGGAATATAATATTAAAAAAAAAGATGAACTTATGCACTGAGGCAGGATAAATCAAGGAGGTGAATATTATCTGACTGGAGAAAGACTGCAGAAAGCTACTGAATAATGTATGAATCACAATCAGCAAGCATCAAAGATTAGTAGGTGACCATAGGCAACAGAGAATATTGCCCTTCATTTTAAAGCAAATGGAGTATTAAAGTAGGGAGATTTTGCTAAAACTACACAAGGCACTAGTCAGACTACAGCAGAAATACTGTAAACAGTTTTGCACTCCTTGTGAAAGATATAGTAGCATCGAAGGCAGTCCAAAGAAGGTTCACTAGGCTGATCTCCGGTGAGGAGGGACTGGTTTATGAGAAGAGGTTGAGTAGATTGAGCCTGTACTCATTAGAGTTTGGAAGAATGAGAGGCAACTTTATTGAAACATATAAGATCCTTAGAGGAATTGACAAGAGTTTGAAAGTTTTTTTCCCCTTCTGAGAGAGTCTAGGACCAGAGGGCATAATCTCAAAATTAAGGGATCACCCATTTAAGTTAAAGATGAGGAGGAATTGCTTCTCTGAGGGTAGTGAATCAATTAAATTCTTTACCATGGAGGGCTGTTGAGACTGTGTTTGTAAATGTATTCAAGGCTGAGATATACAGATTTTAACCAGTAAGTGAATCAAGGATGATGGGGAAAAGGCAAGAAAATGGAGTTGAAAAGTATCAGACCAGCCACAATTGCATTAAATGGAGGAGCAGTCTCAGTGGGCTGAATAGCCAACTTGTGCTCCTATATCTTATGGTCTTTACTGAGTTTGAGTGTTTCTCAAGGTTTTGCTGGGATAAAAGGGATGACTTTCTTTCTGATATTTGTAATGCAATTGCTTCAGGTGTTCCTGTCTAGTGTAATACTGCTTTTTTTTTTCTCTTTTGTATGTAATAAACATTTATGTTCTTTTGTTAAAGGTACATTGGCAACCTCTTGTGAATATGTTCAGTGACTGACCTCTATGGGAAACAAAAAAAAACTCATTGTCTACAAAGCCAGGTTTAACTCTGGGATATGAATTACCTAGTAACATCATCAGTTGGAATCTTAATCTACAAAAACAGACTCACAGCCAAGTTCAGTCATATTCTCACTGTCATGTACACGTCCCCTACCAACAAGAATCTGTTACAAACTGAGTTATCAATAACAAGAATCTGAGTTGATTTCTTTCCTCTCCTGAGCACGGGAGTGCTTTAATTTGAGTTTACTTACTTCAGCAAACATCGAAATTAAATTACACTGGTCTGTGCAGTAGGAGAACATTTTTTTTTGCTACATTCTATTCCTACCTGCGTAGTTAGTGATGGGTCAAATATATTTTCGTCTAGGTGTGAAAGTTCTGTGTCATTTGAGTGTTTGTCCATTCGGGTCTGCGATGTGGGGAGAGTTGACTGTTGAACACTGGAGCCTGTGTTAAGATCTGTCCCATTTCCAAATGCTTGAAATGCATTCTCTGTAAATAAAGAAAAAAAAGTCAGGTTTAAATCCATGAGGTATAGGATATCAGTGTTGATTCATTATTCTATTTGAAATATTGTCCTATCTTCAGAAGATGCTGCAATCCAACGTTTTCAGTTTTAACCCACTTGCTAAATTCAGTCGAACAAGACCAGACTACTGCGGATGCTGGAAATCTGAAATAAAAACAGAGACTCAACAAGTCTGGAATCATCGTTGGAGAGAGAAACAGACTTAACATTTCGAGTCCAGTATGACTCTTCTTCAAAACAGAGTAAAGGGGATTTAAGTTTAATATCCTAAAAAGAGTCGTTCTTATCAGACACGAAACATTGCCTCGTATTATAGCAGTACATAAATTACAAAAAGCACACTTCTGTGTCAAATATATTAAAATACTGGAAAAACCAGCAGCATCTTTGGAGTGAGAAACAGAGTTAGCATTTCAGATCAACGTCAACTGTCTTTTTATCGACATGCTGCCTTTTTTCAAGATCATCCGAGCAAAGTGTCAGTTTTCACCTGTAGGTTGATGACACCCAACTCTATCTAACCACCACTCCCTCACTGCCTTTGTTGTCTGACTGTTTGAACCACACCCAGATTGGATTGAGTAGAAATTTCTTCCAATTAACATTGGAAAGATCGAACATGTTGTCTTCAGCTCCCATGACAAACTGTTACTGTTACAGCAATTGTCTAAATCTTGCTAGTTGTTCTTGTATTTAACCTCAAAATGACCTTTTGATCACATATCCATGTGTAGCCATACGCACCAATGGTAACTAAGGGCACCAATTTCCACCTTTATAACATTGCCATACTCCACTCTTGCCTCAGCTCATCCCTGTGCTTTATGCCTTCATGACCTTCATACATAGTAATGCCACTCTACTATCTCATAAAACACGAGGAAAACTTTTAAAAATAAAGTTGTATAAAAATCATGACCGGGGAGGCGATGACCAAGTGGTACTATCGCTGGATTATTAATCCAGAGACCCAGATGGTGTTCTGGGGACACAGATTCGAATCCTGCCATGGCAGATGGTGGAATTTGAATTCAATAAAATATCTGGAATTAAGAATCTATTTGTGACCATGAATCCATTGCCGATTGTCGGAAAAACCCATCTGGTTCACTAATGCCCTTTACGGAAGGAAACGGCCATCCTTACCTGGTCTGGCCTACATGTGACTTCAGACCCACAGCAATGTGGTTGAGTCTTAGCTGCCTCTGGGCAATTAGGGATGGGCAATTAACGCTGCCTAGCCAGTGACGCCTTCATCCGTGAATGAATAAAGAAAAAAAAAATCATGTGTTGCTACCTTTTTAAAAACGATAAACCAATTAATAATAGATTGACTGAAAGAACTGCAGATGCTGTAAATCAGGAACAAAAACAGAAGTTGCTGTTGTTTGGGGTCCAGTGACCCTTCCTCTGAATGATTTTATTATTCCTCAGAATAATAGATTGACAGTTGGCTTTCAAAGCACAGTAAAGTGGCATATTTAAATTCTACAGAAATTAGATCGCTGCATTACAAAGAAAGTTATTTAAAAATATTCTCCTGATTACTGTGTGAGATTATGGTCTCGCCTAGAGTGAAAGCCTCATTGGCTTCTCAGAGGCTACTAAACATGCAACAAAAGCCCTGGATGTAGAACTCTGGCTTACAGCTACTGGGTTGCCAGGCAAGGAGAGGAGAGAGTTGTTCATGTTTTCATATCTGTTTCTTGCCTGCATCTTTCACCCCTCCTCCATTTGTAATCTCCAAAGTGATGCCTATATTCCTCTGCATGTATGTGGAGATGTAAAAATGTGTCTATGTGTTAATGAGTTGGAAGCAGTTCAGAGAAGGTTTATCACATTAGTACCTGGAATGGCTGGGTTGTCTTATGAGGAAAGGTTGGAGAGACTAGGCTTCTGTCTGCTGAAATTTATACAAGATCCTGAGGAGACTGGGCATCTACACTATCTCTTTAGGTGGCTTGGTGTTAAATTTTGACATATAATGCTGCTGTTATGTAGTTGAACTATGAACAACTTTTCTTACATTACAGCAGTGGCTAAACTTAATTGGCTGTAATGTGTGTTGGGACATCCAGAGGTCATGAAAGGTGTTTTATAAATGAAATCTTCCTAACTTTCAGGGACTGAGTCAGGGAATTGAACTTCAGGAAGGAAAGGTCTTTGATGGGGTGGAGATTAGAATTATGGAAGTGATAACAGTGCAAGGTAAAAAGGGACAAAAGTAAAGAATGGAGGCAGCAAAACTGGTCCAGACCAGGTGTAAGAGTTTGCATCAGAGGAAAATATTGATAATCTAGGAAAGAGAAGAAGCCCCAACTCAAGAATGTCACAGGAGGAGGGAAGGACATGGACCAAACCATGAACAACTGGGAGTCCATGACTCTGGTGCAGGGATCCACCAGTGTGAAAATTGTTTTTAGCTCAGATTTCCAGATCCACAGTACTTCAGTTTTGCTTTAGGCGATATATTAAATGGCAGTTACTTCCCTATACAAAGAATCCTTACTCACTGAGGCATATATTATCTGTGAAGAGGGTGTGGAAGTTCTCACAGTCCTCTCTGTGGTTTCCACTGCCACTGCAGGTACACCAGGGCGCCACATTAGAGCTGGAATTGTCGATATAGTTTGGGGTGACCACAGTACCTAACGAAAAAGATAAAGAACCAAACTTAATAGCGTCACAATAGAGGAAAATTTGATGAACATCTCTGGAAAGCCATGAGTGAGGATTACTGGACAACATTTGAGGAGAAGAGCCTTCATTAGTTTGGCTTCACTATTGCAGATACATTCAGAATGATATTAGCTAACAAAGTTAGCTACAATTCACACGCTGAAAAAAAAAACAAATTTGTTCATTTCTTCAAAAGATTTTAAGAAAGAGAGAAAAAAAAGGTTAAGTAACAGCCTTTCAATACCTCGGTCTCCGTGCGCAGGAACTAAAGAAGGGGAAAAAATAATAAGTGAGAATGAAATCCACGAATTGCTGAAAACTTAGCGAGGCAGAGGGTGATGGTCGAGGTTTATGTGACTAGGGAAGAAGCATAAAAATGGCGTGTAAAAGCTCCTGTAGGTCTGTAAAAGGAACCGTTTGGTTAAGCCGAATGTGGGTCAATTACAGACAGAGTCAAGATAATTTATAACGAGGAATACAGGCATGGAGGAGAAGTTAAATTATTGCTTTGTGTCTGTTTTCATTGCGGAAGATACAAAAAACCTCCAGAATTAAAGATCCAAGTGACTAGAAAGAACGCAAAGGAATTTAGTATTTGTGAAAGGTTGTACTGAAGAAATGAATGGGGTTAAAAGCTGATTACTCTGGAACCTGATATTCCACAATGCAAAGTGTCGAGGGAAATGGCTATAGCGATGTTCAATGCCTTAGTGATGATGTTCCAAAATCCCATGGATTCTGAATGATTCCTGCAGATTGGTAGGTAGCAAATATAACCCCACAGTTTAAGAAAGGAAGAGGAGAGAAAATGGAAAGAGAGACCTAACATCTGTAGTAGGGAAAGTGCTAGACTCTATCATAATGGATGTGATGAATGTACATTTGGACAACAAAGGAAACCTGATTGGGCATAGTCAGCATGGCTTGAAGGATGGGAAATCATACTTGATGAACTTGGGAGTTTTTTGAGGACTTTTCAAACAAAATGTATGAAGAGCTCTTGGTGTACTTAGTATATTTGGATTTTTCAAAGGTTTTCATTAAAGTTTGGAGAGTCCCAGAAGACTGGAAAATGGCTAATATAACACCCCTGTTCAAGAACGGAGGCAGAAGATTGGAAATTGTAGGCCGGTTAGTCTGACATCTGTCATTGGCAAGATTTTAGAGTTCATTCTTGAGGATGAGATTGCAGGGTACTTGGGGAAGTGCATGGCAAAATAGGACTGAGTCAGCATGGCTTCATCAAGGAGAGGTCATGCCTGACAAATCTGTTAGAATTCTTTGAGGAGGAAATGGATGTGATCTATTTGTATTTCCAGAAGGCCTTTGACAAGGTGCCAATGACAAGTTTGCAAATAACATAAAGATAGGTGGAGGGAGAGGTAGTGTTGAAAAAGTGGGTGGGGTGCTGCAGAAGAACTTGGACAGGGTAGGAGAGTGGGCAAAGAAGTGGCAGATGGAATACAGTGTGGCAAAGTGAGGTTATACTCTGTCAGGAAGATTAGAGGCACAGATTATTTTCTAACTGTGGAAATCTAAAGCACAAAGGGACTTAGAATACCTAATTCAGGATTCGCTTAAGGTTACTATGCAGGTTCACTTGGCAGTTAGGAAGGCAAATTTACCGTTAGCACGCGTTTTGAGAGAACTGGAATACAAGAGGAGGGATGGACTACTGAAGCTGTATAAGGCTTTGGTCAGACAACATTTGGAATATTTGGAGCGGTTTTGGGCCCTATATTTTCCTCACCACCTATCTTCTCCTCTATCCATCTTCTATCCGCCTCCCCCTCTCTCCCTATTTATTTCAGATCCCCCTTCCCCTCCCCCATTTCTGAAGAAGGGTCTAGGCCCGAAATGTCAGCCTTCCTGCTCCTATGATGCTGCTTGGCCTGCTGTGTTCAGCCAGCTCTACACTTTGTTATCTCAGATTCTCCAGCATCTGCAGTTCCTACTATCTCTAATCTAAACATCCCTGGGCACTATAGGCAATTTTGCATGGCCAATCCACGTAGCCTGCACATCTTTGGACTGTGGGAGGAAACTGGAGCACCCAGAGGAAACCCACGCAGACACAAGGAGAATGTGCAAACTCCACACAGACAGTCGCCCGAGGGTGGAATCAAACCCGGGTCGCTGGCGCTGTGAGGCAGCAGTGCTAACCACTGAACCACCGTGCCGCCCTGCAGCGATGGCAGATCGAGTGTGGGCCGGAGCGACGGTGACGGATCAACAGTGGGCTGGTTTGGCGGTGGATCAGGAGTGGGCTGGTTTGGCGGTGGATCAGGAGTGGGCTGGTTTGGCAGTTGATCAAGAGTGGGCTGGTTTGGCAGCGGATCAAGAGTGGGCCGGTTCGGTGGTGAGAATGGGCCGGTGAGGCAGCGGTGGAGAGAACAGGCTGGTAAGGCAGCAGCAGTGGATGGCGAGAGCAGACCTTTCACATGGCAACAGCCTCCTGGGTGTCCTAGCTATTGGAGCAGCGCCTGCACGATTGTTGAGATGGGACTTGAGACTTGGGACTCTGAGATCTGGACTTATCTTGCTTACCTTTTGGCTCTGTTAAAATCTTTTAATTCAGGTTTTTGTAACCAAGTGGGTGCCAGTGAATGGTGATTTTGTGCACTCTTCGCTATATTTATGTATTGCTATACTTAGTACATGTGACGAATAAATAAATCCAAATGAATAATTAAACCACACAGAAAGGTTATTATTGCTATTGAGGGATTGCGACAAAGGTTTACCAAACTTGTTTCCACACTGTTCAATGACGAGAGATTAGGCAAACTGGTCCTGTGTATTTTAAGCTTCAAAGAATGAGAGGTGACCTCATTAAAACCTACAAAATATATCAGAGATAGACAGGGTTAAATGCAGGTAATATATTGGACAGCCTAGAACCAGAGGGCACAGTTTAAAAGTAAGGAGAAATGCTTTCACCCAGAGCATTGTGAATCTTAGAATTCACAGCCAACGAGTGCTGCAGAAGCTCAGTGTTTGAATATGTTTAAAGTAGGAGGTTGGTAGATTTCTGATTAAAGGGTGAAGTAGTTACAGTCCTACTGGACCATAGGTCTGCTCTCTCATTTAAGAGAAATGACTGGTGGTGGTTTAAACTGAGAATCACCACATTTCAGGCAAGACAGGGAAGATGTTGAGAAGGAGCGTCTTTCATGATAATCCCTGTTGGTGTCACTCTGCACAGTCAAGCAGCTGTCCATCCAACTGAGCGAAACGACCCCCAGATTTCGAGTTACCAGTGGTTATGAGGACATTGTTGGTAAGCGGGTTTGAAGTGCTCGATTAACCATGGTTGTATTAAAGGACAGAGTGGGGAGGCACCTTGTTGTGGAATGGTAATGTCCACACCTTTGAACCAGGGGCCTGGGTTCACATCCCACCTGCATAAGGTGTGTAATAACATCACTGAACAGGTTATTTAGAAAAATATCTAAATGGTGGAGCAGCCTCAATAGGCTGAATGGTCCATATCAGTTGCTATGGAAGCCTGTGTTCAGAGTTGTATGGCAGGGTTTAGTTGTGAGTGCCTTGCTGTTTGTAATGTACATTAATGATCTAAACATGGAGGTATGATCAATAAGTTCGCAGCTGGCATGAAGATTGGTTTTGTTATATATAGCAAGGAGGAAAGCCTTAGACTACAGCACAATATAGATGCGCTAAACAGTGGGAAATGGAAAATGAAACATGTGAGATTATGCATTATGGGAAGCTAAGGGTGCACATGTTGAATGGTAAGACCCTAGGAAGTAAGGAAGATCAGAGGGACCTTGGTCTGCATGTCCATAGTTCCTTGAAGGCAGCAGGCCAGGTAGACAAGGTGGATAACTAGTTGCCTTTATTATATGAGACACTAAATACAAGAACAAGAAGCTTTTTATTGAGTTGTAGATAATATTAGTTAGACTATTGTTGGAGTGCTGTTGTGGTTCTTGTCACTGCACTACAGGTAGGATGCAATTGCACTAGAAAGCTTCACAGGGAAATTCACCAGGGATGTTGGCTCAGCTGGAATGTTTTATCTATCAAGAAAGACTGGATAGGCTGGGGTTGTTGACCACCGAGCAGAGAAGACTTGGTGGCGGGGGGGGGAACCTGATTGAAGTGTATGAAGTTTTGAGGGGCATAGACAGGGTAGATAGAAAGAAGCCTTTCCCCTTTGTAGAGTAACCTGGAGAGATGGATATGAGGTAAGCAGCAGGAGGTTTAGAAGGGATTCTAGGAAACCTTATTCACCCAGAATATGGTGGGCATCTGGAACTCACTGTCTGAAAGAGTGCTAGAGGTGGAAACCCTCACAACATTTAAGGAATATTTACATAACCACTTGAAACACCATAGCGTACATGGAAAATTGGATTAGAGTAGATAAGTGCTTGGTGACTGGCACTGATAAGATACACTGAAGAGCCTCTTTCTATGCTGTAAAATGCCATGATCGCATGACATTGCAACAGTATTATACTTTAAAAGTACTTCAGTGCCTGTGTAGAACTTGCAGATGTCTGGACAGCCTACACTGCCTTTCTTTATCCTTTCCAACAATGTGTGCAGAAGAAGAAAAAGTGCTTTATTCTGCATCTATGCAAACACTGGGGAACATTTATTATTGGCAGTGAGCTTTTGAATTGGGAAGATGGTCAATTCTCCAGGAGTATCACCCTTAACCTTAACAAGCACAGAACCTGGTACAAAAATTGAAGTAACAAGGCAGCTGAAAAGCAAGGACCTTGGATCTTACCTATAATGCCAGTGTATGAGAGTAGACAGGCAGCATAGTTCTCCCTGAGACAACCACTCACAGACTGTGTGGAAGGCTGACAGCTCGTTTGGAACTCTGCTAACCTTGATCTGTCAGAGAGGAGAAAGAAAGAGGGAAATAATAATTGGAGTTGCATGACTTTTGAACCAAGGGAAAACAAACAATGAACTCTTCCCTTTTAACATGCGATGGGATACAACCTGTGACAATATCATGGTGACTGCCAGTTTCCATCACAAATACTTTTCTTTTCTTTCACTGAAAGAGACTTAAATGTTTGTTAGAGTACAGTTTGTATTCTGAGGACATGTTGCTGACCCGCAGGATAGGGTAAGGATGCCTGCTGAGCAAGTGTATTATTCCAAAATTAGGTTTTAAAAGGGCTGAGACCCAGAGAGATATCACCAAATGTGTAAGACAAGTCAGATTGACTTGTATTCTGAAAACTGCCACAGATAAGTAAGTAAAACATCAGAGTGATACTCCTACTGATGAGTAACAGTCATCAAAATAATCTTAGGTAAATGTAAAATGGGGCTAACATTTCAATCCTAATCTCTCACTGCTTTAATGAGGCAGGAAGGGACTACAACAAGGAATTAGAAGCCCCAGCATTCTTCTCTGTCACTCAGCAAATTCCCTCAGCTTCTTGTTCATGAGCTGCTAAAGGATATCAGTCTGTATGGTGGATGCTCTGCAGGAACCATGAAGAGGAACGGGGCAGCAGATGTAGGAGAACAACATAGCTGCAAAATTTACTGTAAGTCATAAACCATCCTGACTTGGAACATCAAGTCATCATTCCTTTATTTCACTGTCCAATAGTCATGTGATGGATTAGGCAGCAAAAGGCTTCCAGTAATTTACAAGACTTTTACTGTAAATCTGTAGTTTAGCATAAACACCAGTTTCCACCTTTCCTTTCTGAATTCCTTGTCCAGAAGCCAAATCCCCACTGGGAAAGAGCCCAGGTCTTTTCCTAATTTAAAAAAAAATGCCCACTAAATTATCCAATTAATTAATTAAACAAATAATTACTACCAGGGTAGTAAAGCCTCAGCTCTTTTAAAATATATTTTCTAATCAACTCATTCAGGGACATTCTGACATACCTCTGGAGTGGACGGGGCTTGAAGCCAGGCCTTCTAGTTCAGAAGTAGAGACACAACCACTGCACTGCATGTTTTTAATATGGCACCTGGTTTCTTTCATTCCTGCAAGCTGACTAAGGGTTATTTGATTGCCAACAAGACAACGAATAAGAAGATATTTTCAATCAGGAACAAAAACGAAGTTGCTAGAAAAGCTCAGCAGGTCTGGCAGCATCTGTGGAGGAGAAAACAGAGTTAACGTTTCGGGTCCGGTGACCCTTCCTCAGAACCTCAGATATTTTTAATCAACTTGTTCAGATACTTGCATCCCGTCTGGGATAGGTGGGACTTGATCCAGGACAGACCTGGCCCAGAGGTAGAAACGCTACCACTTTACCACAAGAGTCTTTAAAACCTGAGCTCTTTTCTTCGATATCCAGAAGTTGTGTGTTATCACACACAACTGAACGGCTTTCTTCCCACCACCAAAATTAATGTAATCTATTATCTACCACAACTAAATCACCCATGTTTTCAATTAATCACTTTACTTGCCCCTGATAAGGAGCAATGCAATAATTTCAAACGTGAGGGAGAGGTAGGAGACTAAATCAAAATAGAGTTTGAAGAGGAATTAAGGCACTCCACCTCCACTGTGCCCTCATCTCTCTAAATGTGTCACGAATACTGGTGGACACTGCATGCCACCTGTCCAAGGACGCTGGAACACAAACATAGCTGTGGAGAAGGGCCAAACAGTCGACAACAATGCCCTCCACTGTTCACTGCCTTGACCTGTTAATGGCCAACTTGGCAAAACTCCAGCATTTTTTCTTCTTTCTTATATCCACAAACGCTCTTATACATAAATGATTGGTGTTTTTCCACCACCAAATCACCCGTGATACTTTTCAGCTATTGTCCGTCGCCACTAAATCACCTGTATTTTCATCTTAAAAAGCTTTGGTCCTTGACTCTCCTTCAAAGAAAACAGCCTCTCTCCACTTTCTATACTCTCCTCTTGACTTTGAACGCCTCAGTCAATTTTCCTCTCAACCTTTCCTTCTCCAAGAACAACACCAGCTTCTCCAATCTATTCACAGAAGTAAAGTCCCTCATCCAGTCCAGTTAAGTCACTGACAAGACACAATTCTGCCTTTTTTGAACAGAATTAAATTCTGACAATGGTCTTCAGCATGTCTGATGTATAAATGTTAGATTCCATGGAATGTATGGCAAAGAATCAGGTCATTTGGCCCAGGTGTTCCATTCAAGATATAAGGGGATAGCAACATACAGGAAGGAAGAGGCTTCAGTGGGAAACAGAAAGTGGAGGAATTTCCAACAAGATTGTTAACCCCTTGATGGAGGGTTGATGCAACATGAGCGGTAGGATGTGAGTTTTTTAACACTATCTTTTGTGTGCTTTTATTATAATTCATCTTTGAGTTTAAGCTGTAGTTACTCTCGAAGGGTTGGTTAGCTTGGATTGCTAGTTCAAGATACAGGAAGATGCTAACTGTGTGGATTCAATTCTCACACTGGCTGAAGTTACCATAAAGATCTCTCCTTCTCAACCTTGCCCCTCAACTGAGACGTGGCAACCCTCAGGTTAAGACATCACCAGTCATCTCTCTCTCACTAACAAAAATGGAAATTGCTGGAAAAGCTCAACAGGTCTGGCACCATTTGTGAAGAGAAATCAGAGTTAACGTTTCAGGTCTGGTGACCCTTCCTCAGAACTCGGTCAACAGAGCTTTTCCAGCAATTTCTCCGTTGACCGAGTTCTGAGGAAGGGTCACCGGGCCCGAAACGTTAACTCTGATTTCTCTTCACAGATGGTGCCAGACCTGTTGAGCTTTTCCAGCAATTTCTGTTTTTGTTACTGATTTGCAGCATCCACAGTTCTTTTTGTTTTATCTCTCTCTCTCTTGCTGGTGAAGTGTGTCATTCCCACAGACACCTGGGAATCATAGGTCCAAGGCTGTACAATGTGAAGGAGGAGCATCTGGAAAGGCATTGACCAGCCCTGAAGACTTGCTATAGGGAAAAAAATGGAAGCCAGATGAAAACAGCAAAAGGAGCACGCTGCCACACACCAATGCCCCACCCATCCCGTCCCATGACCACTTTCTGTCCCAAGTGTAACAGAGTCTGCATAAGCCGCATCAGTCTGTACCCTGAGAGTGGAAGAGAGTCATCCTTGTCTGCGAGGGATTGTCGAGGATGATGATGATGATTAGAGAGTGGGACTATAGTGACTTTATCTTTTAGTTACTGTCAAATATGAAGCCGATGCTCAAAGAAAGTAAATATTGTCATCGTAGGGTTCACCCTCTCTTTAATTGTCCCTGATTGTGCTCACAAGCAGTGACAGGAAATCCAGGAATGCATCTGTCTATTGGCCAGTTGTCCTTTGAAAACTCAGCAGGCGTAGTTCCCACATTTCCTGCTGCAAGTCGCAGTGCCTGGTTTTTAGGATAGCAGTCCATTTAGATAACCCACAGACATACACACAAGGAAGTGATAACCCACAGACATACACATAAGGAAGTGATAACCCACAGACATACACAGAAGAAAGCGAGTCAAGTGCCTGAAAGACCTGGTCCTGCCATTTTTCTGCCAAATATGAGGAAACAAGGAATCTCCAGAGACTTGGTTTCCTGAGTCTCTAATCCAATTTCCCCTTCAGTGAGCCTGAGAACTGTACATTTCTCAGACCAAATGAAGAAGAACATTTCTCCTCATAAATGTCTTTAAAAGAGAATTGTTTGCTTGAGGAAAGAGGAACACTGTTTTACCAAACACAACAACAACAAAAACAAAGTTGCTGGAAAAGCTGAGCAGGTCTGGCAGCATCTGTGAAGGAGAAAAACAGATTTAACGTTTCGGGTCCGGTGACCCTTCCTCAGAACAGTTATGAGGAAGGGTCACCAGACCTGAAATCTTAACACTGTTTTTTTCCTTCACAGATGCTGCCAGACCTGCTGAGCTTTTCCAGCAATTTTGTTTTTGTTCCTGATTTACAGCATCTGTAGTTCTTTTGGCTTTTATTTACTGTTTTACCAAATTTGCTGATAAGTTAATGGTGAGGCTAACAATGCTAATCATTAACAAAAACAGAAATTGCTGGAAAAAGTCAGTAGGTCTGGCAGCATCAATGGTGAGAAGTCAGAGTTAACATTTCAGGTCCAGTGACCCTTCTACAGAACTGGACTGTTCTGAGGAACAATTCTGAAGAACGGTCACTTAACCCAAAACGTTAACTCTGATTTCCCTCCACAGATGCTGCCAGACCTGCTGAGCTTTTTCCAGCAATTTCTGTTTTTGTTTCTGATTTCTGCAGTTCTTTTGGTAGTTTATATCACGTTAATGATTATTTATGAAGAAAGTGGATGGCAGATTTCTGCAGTGAGGAATGTGGAAATGCTGATGTTGAGTGCCTGATGTTTGAGAAGCATGAAAACTGAAACAAGAAAGAAGAATGTGAAGTAAAAGGGCTGGTATTGATTGTACCCAACATGTAAACACATCCCATTGGTTGAGACATGTGCTTTCCCAGTTAATTTTTGTAGATATTTGTGCAAGTGAGAGATGAAAACAGCACAGCACCTCCTGCAAGACAAGCAACCTTGAATCAATCAGATTAAAGGACTGCCAATTGCACTGTGCAATCTGAACCAGATCATGCAACTTAAAGTCACCATCAGTTCTGAGGAAGGGTCACCGGACCCGAAACGTTAACTCTGTTTTCTCCTTCACAGATGCTGCCAGATCTGCTGAGCTTTTCCAGCAACTTTGTTTTTGTTCCTGATTTACAGCATCCACAGTTCTTTCGATTTTTATTATGCAACTTAATGTAACCGTTGCAGCATAAGTGAGGGCCAGAAACATTATAACTTGGAATGGGAAAATATTTAAAAACAACAATTAACGCTGAAGGAAAGAGACACCGTATTGCAATAGCAAAACTAACTTATTATGTTGAAAACAAA